TCACCCAGAAATGCCTTATTGCTAAAATGGATAAAAAGAATTCAGGACTTACCCTCAAGAAGCTTACCTTGTAATAATCCTGATAAAGTCTGCATTTAGAATAAAATGCTTAAAATGATTTAATGGAAAGGAAAGAACAGCTAGCTTCCGTCACTCTTAATTTCCTTCCTTTTTCCATGGCTAGCACAGCAAGCTGTTCACGGAGCACCCAGCAGTCTTTCACTGGCCAACATGCCTCTGGGGATGGCTCCTGAGGTGGGCCCTGGGTGCCTGATCTCTTCCCCTGGGACTCCTGGGCTGGAGTGTCCCCAGCCTGGGCTGTGGGTCAGCCCCATGCCTGTAACCTTTGTGTACACTCTGTCGTCATGGTCACTCAGCTGGGGCTTGTGCATGGAGACTGGACCGTTGCTTTGAAACGTGCAGATGGCTCTTGCCATAGGAAGCTCTGTTGCAAAAGAGGTTTCTATGGGCAAAGTCAATAAGGAGGACACACATAATTTCCACCCTGCTCCTATGGATGAACGGTTACAGGTTGTGTCACAGGTGCCAAAGGTGACCCAGGCTTTAATGTAATGACGTGGCAGTCCAGGCACCCATCTCTAGGCCAGCCTAACAGCCCAAAAGAATGAGTATCTTGTGCTCCTGGCACTGGGCTGCAGTGGGAGGCACATGCTACACATATGCACCCAACGGTGACACACAACACCTCTGTTATTTGTACGTTGCTGCTACGTGATAATACTAAATGCAATCAGGACAGTACATAGCCTGACAAAGCAAATGCAAAGTGCTTTTTGCTTTTGTCTGAGAAGATTGTAATCTAGGATGTTTTCCCATATGGAAATAACTCAGGTTTACTGATTTTTCTGTCATCAGTTATGAACTTCAGCTGCTTACCTGAAGAAATTGTGTGTCATCCATCATCCACAAATATCAAATGGATTGTAGAAGGAAGATTGCTAACAGCAAGCTGCACTTTGTTTTGTTAGTTCCATCTACTCAATCCTTTAAAGCAAGAAAACGGCAAAAACCCCTGTGGGGGTGACTAGCCAGTAGCGTGTTTAGGGAAACAGTGTTTGCTCTTGGTTTGGCCTGCAGTTACTAGAGAAACTGTGTCTGACTCTTGCCCTTTGTAGTTCATGTCTAGGCTTGCCTGGTGACCCAGGAGACCCATAATTTAATCTGGCTAAGAATGCTTGTGCTGAGTTAGGGGCCTGATCTGAATCCCACTGAAGTCTTTGGACAGATTTTCATTGATTTCAGTGAGCTCTGCATCAGTCCCATGAGTGCCCAGGCACTGTAATGCAGTGGGGTTTAGTGGTTTAGTTTTTACCTCTTCCTAATAAAGTTTAAAAAACAACAGCATCATTTAACAAAAGGTGCAAGTGTCTAGTGATTTACCTCATGCATCATGTCAGTCAGAACACTTGGCTATTCATCATGTTTTTTGCAAAATCTGCTGGGATTCTAACAGTTTCTGTTTGGATGCAGGTGGAAATGAGTGGGAGCACTATTTGTTGACTGTTACTTAATGTATCTCACATTGGGATGGACTGTTCAAATTTTGGCTTTGACATTTTGGTTCTTAGCTGCTTATTACCCAAATAGAGTACCCAGGGCTACATTTTATTCAAGTCAGTGACATCTGACAACACTATGAGGAATTTGAGTTCAATGAATCTACCTAATTAAAAGAGGCAGTTTTCCTTGCCACTGAAATGGGAAGCCAGAAATACTCTCTGCTATTCTGCTTTCTGTGCCATTAAGAGGAATACTCTTGAACTCCTGCATTATATTAAAAACATCAAATTAAAACATTCTCAGAACCTTACTTCTGTATCAGTGACAACCGTAATAGTTAGAGCCAACTGTATGAATTGCCAAGAACTTTGCTTAAATTTTCCTGTGTGTGTTGTTATAAATGTGTGCAGTTTGGCCTGGGTTTTGCCTCCTAAAATCCAAACAATAGCACCTTATTGCATGACTGATTACACTGCTGTAATCTAGTTTCTCAGGTGAAGAGTTTGTTTACTGCTGACTTGCAGTTTATATGTTAACTATGGGAACGAGTAACTCACAAAAGGAGGTGTAGTAGGGATTCAGACTTCTCTTTGATTGTCCGTTGTGGAATCTAGTCACTTCACTCTTTTGTCAGAGAATTTCCTAACTCGTAGGGCCTGCCTGGACAAGTCAGAGAAAGTAGGAAGGCAGGAGACAGTTCAAAGTCCATCATCTGATGTGTCCCACTGATCCAAACCAGCTTGGCATTTACTGAGGAAAAGACAGGAACTGGATAATTGCTGAGACTGAACTCTGTCAGGGTCAGATCCCACATGGAAACTATGATCAAATTATGGGCTCCACGGCAGGGGATGGAATCTCTATGATGCCTGCTGCTGTTTCGCAGTGGAAATGTTATTTTAGCCTTGATAGTTCAAGAATAAAAAGAAAACAAGGTTTATAGGAAGAAGTAATCTCTTTTATTAGATTATAATATGATATTGTGAAAAAATGACATGAAGGCAAAGAAAACAGATTAAACAACTACTTCCTAAGCTTTGGCAAGGAAGACAGCATCATCGCTAGAGGAATCACAATCTGTTTATCTGTGGCTGTGCATGAAGCCCTGAGTGGACTAAACTAGTCTAACCCCTGGCATCAACGGATTCATGCTTAAAATAAGAAAACAATCCCCCTTTTTCTATAATGCCCACTTCTTAGGATGTTCAGCTACTCTTTGTAGCAAAACCTATGTGATCAAAAGTTTCAAGTCACTTGTGAACTTTTTTTTTTGACATGTCACCATGCAACAGATATCTAAAAACAGAGAAAAACTTATGTAGCTGTAAACATAGTCTCCAGTGTTTACAAGGGAATCCATTCAGATTTGAAAATGACCCATCAATTGCCTGACATTTTTAAAGAAAGTTTAATCTCTAGAATAAAATTCAGGCCTCAGGCATGAAAATCCGGTTTGCCTGTTCAAGAATGCTCATCTGTTGCCCAGAGCTAATTTTGGTATGCTGGATGCAGACAGTCAGCAGCAAGTAAAAATCTTCACAGACTGCATAGAAAGAGGCTAACCAACTCCTAAAAAACCTTGTGTGGAAATGCTTCCTGGCAATGCATAGCAGTGGTTTCCTGTTGTCCTACATCACTCTCCAAAAAGCATAGAGCAGGCTAGCATTGCACTCTTATGCTATATGTGAAAGGGAAGGAAAGACTCACGGCTTGTGTATGCAACAAAATCCCTATGGGTCATCACAGGCAACCAAGTGCAGTGCAGGCCACATGATAAGGATACTCCTGTGGTCAAAACACTGGTGTGCTATAATAAAGCTCAGCTCCTGACACTCCTGAATCCTTTTTCTGAAGATTCATGACCTGTCTCAGACTTTGATTTCTTTTTCATTTGAGTGGTTATTGACAGGTCCCCATTTGTTAAGGAAGTATTTTGATATGTGAGGAAAAGAAAGAGAAGACTTTTTATTTTTGGTAATTTATTACTCATTCCTTAAAGCCAGAGTTTCTACTAAATGCCTTGGTAAGTCTTTTTTTGTGGTGCAGAAAGAAACCATAAAAAGCAAGGAACTGTGAGTGGAGGAGAAAAGAAATCCAGAAATAGCCAGAAATAGGCAGGAGTTCATGGTTTATGGTACACTTCTGCAAAGATGTGTACTTCTATAAATTTGTGCCTTCATGCTTTATTTTGTTATCACAAGCTCTTTACAAAACTGAAATGTAAGCACTTGAATTGCCTGGCTGCAACATCCACAGTCAAATTAAGAGCCAGTTTAAATACTCAGCTATTTTACCTTAATTTGTTCTCTTGTCTTGACAGTTCCTGATACCTGACACTGGCGGCATAACTTCCTGAGACAGCAAAGGGAAAAAAGAACACATCAGCTATTCTCTGAATGTGCCCCAGCTAATTATTGCTTGAAGTTTTAAACACTGAAGCACTCATATTTGAGAAACTGCTTGCATGTTTTTGTATTCACACTCTGTATGAAATACCTCAAAACCAAAATAAAGTTATACTAATAATGTGAACATCTGTATAGATCACTAGGAATATTAATGTTACGATAAATAGAGTCATGTAATTTTCAAAATAAATACAAAATGTGAGAGTTTCATAAGGATAAGTAACTGTGTTGTCTAAAGTCTACTAGAAGCAGTCAAGTGCAATTTTAGTAATTAATTAATAGGTCTGGTACTATTTTTCTCGTGGTGAATATTTCACTTAAATATTTCACAGATGTTTAAGAGATAGCCTGATAGACACAACAGAGTACAATACTGAATCAATTAAATATACCCTAAAAGAAGGAGCTAATATTGGAAAAAAACCAGGTAAACTGAAAAAGCTTTGAAACCAGCATGTTAGTTAATCTAATAGTGCTCACCTGAATATTGTTCCATTCCTCAGAGCCACATGATTTCCTGTTCTATATAAACCCTAAGCAAGCAGTGGTAGAGTGTTAAGGGTGGTTTGGGTGTTGGTTTTTGTTCTCATCTTATATAAATGATATAGGTTTTTATAGCATTAGGTTTGTTTCCTTGATGACTGTTTGAAGCTGTTTATAAAGCAAATTTCAAACTTTCAACAACTTTTGTCTGAGAAGGTAATGTTTGTGGTCTTCATTGTATATAGAAGAGCTATGTAATTGTAGAATCTGCTGGTTGTTGACTGTAGTGTATAAGTGATATGTAATAAGGAGTATTCTCTTTTAAACTTTATAAGTGTTCTGTTAGCTTGCTTAGTGTGAGTGCCTTCTAGCAATACATTAAATTGATTTCACTACCTAGGACTAAATTTATCAGTTGTTTGGCAGTTAGACTTATCTAGGCTCTATCTGTATGGCTTATGCAGCTTTTGCAATATTCATCCTTGGAACTTGATAGTACCTTAATGTTATTAAATCTCTCTAGTGTAGTGTCTCATCTCTACTGATGACTATTCAACAGCTAAAGCACTTTGTGCGCTTCAATTTAAAATGAAAGATGAAATTGCTGCCACAGTCTTCTTCATCACAAGGCTAGTGAAAAGGGAAGATAAGCTGAGCAAGCATAAAATGGAGAAATTTGCAGCTAAGCTAACAACAATACTGTTTGAGAAGTATAAGAATCACTGGTACTTGGACAATCCATCCAGAGGACAAGCCTTCAGGTAAGAGCACTCTTAGTAGAAGAGGAGGGGAAATGGAGCTGTTGTATGGCATTTCAGTGCCTGGAGCCCTTAAACTGGAAATAGGTGATGCAAAACTGAAAGAGAACCACTTAGCTACCCCTTAAGCTTGAGGGAAGAGGTGTTATTAACTGGTAAAGATGCACCTATTTTGTAAGTGGTTTCACAGTGTGTGCCTGTGTAGGTATGACTGGAGAGCTGAGGTGACAATCTGAAGATATTTTACACAGTGTCTTGAGTAGCCCTCTGACGACTTGAATGTAGAATTCAAGTGGTCTTTTATAAATCAGCTTGCTAGCTTAACTTGCTGCTTGTGGCCATAAGTATTTGCATCAATATGCTAAATGTGTTGAGAAAATAATCGGTGAGCTTAAGTGTGCTTCTATATTAGCCAAACTTGCAAAGCTGCAGTGAAATCTTAAGTTGGACTGCACTTTGTTCTTACTTAGGTGTATAAGGATAAACAAACAACAGACAAGAGATCCACTGTTGGAGCAAGCTTGTGTGGAGAGTAATGTGGACTTTAATAAGCTTGGTTTGCCAAAAGAGATGACACTATGGGTTGATCCATTTGAGGTGTGTTGCAGGTGAGTTGGAAAGCTGTGACTACCATGTAAAGTGCCCTGGTAGAAACTTGATCAACTCCAAGCCTGTTACTGGAGTCTTCATGTCCTAGGATGTACCTAGTAGTGCCAGCTGACTCCTAACAGATGTCCACAGGGCTGTTGCAGAGCTGCATTATACAAATACAGTCACTTTCAGATACGGTGAGAAGAACCGGCCCTTCACAATTGCGCACTTTGAAGGAGAAGAGAATCCAGAGCTTCCTCAGCAGATCAGCTATGCTGTTGACAGAGCAGCACTAGACTATTACTCTGGTATTTCCTCAGATGAAGAGAGCTTCTGCAAGGAGCCAAAAGCTATCCCTACTGTCAGCAATCCTAACAGTGTCTACCAGGTAAGCATGTGGTAATGATATGTGGCTTTCAGTAAGAGGCAGCATTTGCCCTCTAGGTTCCCTTATGAAGGAATGCAGTAGACTTAACAACTGATGGCCAGACTAAATGCTTCTCTTTCCCAGACACATTTTAACATTATCTCATTTCTTGCTATTTAGTTCAGTGACTACTGCAAGGCACCCATACAGCCCTGGTCTCAGTATCTTCATAGGAAGACCTATATGACTGATGTCTCATACTATGCCCAGCACAGGGGTCACAAAGTCTACAGGCCAACAGCCGCTTTCACAGGACCGCGTGTTGATAGATACCACTGGATCAATAGCAAGCGGTAGATCTGTGGCTGCACCTGTTTTAAGTTGTTGAAACACTGGAGTATGGGATGGGATGAAGGCTGGCACTCCAAAGTTTCATAAAAACAGAAAGCACTTACTGTCTATTCCTTATCTCTTACTTTGTATATCTGAAACTTTGGGGTTTTATTATATAACCTTTTAAATGTTTTATTAATGTTAACGTAAGATAGAAAATTTATGTGAGACTCTACTTGTAAGTTAAAAAGGAAGTGCATATATCAATAAATCTACTCATGTTTTTTTTAAAAGCCATCTGATCTGCTATCAGTGCCTTGAAGGGAGTTAAAAAGCTTTTTAGTAAACACAAGCAAGTCAAGGAAGATAAAAATGTCCTGCAAGTTACTTTGAATAATAGTCTGCTTCCTTAGCAGGAGCAGCTGCATTGTGAACAAAACATTTCCACATCACAAGCAGAATCATCTCTATGCTCCCCCTTGAGTGAAGCTTTGGTATATGCAGCTGTGAAAAATCGCCTTGTGGCTCCAGCTAACTTTTGCCTTTAGACTATAGCTTACCTATCAGAAGAACACAACCTCATGGACAAGGGCAAATACACGTGGTGTTGTAGCTTTCTGCAGCTGTAAGCTAACACATCACCTTGTAGAATGATGGATCTTTTATCTCTGAGTATGTCTAACCTGCCACTTTCCAGTGCTGTGGCCTGTAGGAAGCTTTTCTCATAGCTCTGGATAACTTGAGTAAAAATGTCTCTTAGTCCAGAACTTCAGAAAAATGAGGACTCCCCTTTAAGTGGAGAAGGACTCACTGGAGTACTTCTGGGCTTTAAAACTATTTCCAGTACTGAGTAAAAATGTGGTCTCAAACAATCAGAATCAACATAACTGCTTTGCTGACTTGCTGTATGTCTTCCTACTGCCTCCACTTGTCACCTACTCAATCGTTGCCTGCTGATTAAACTGTGGGGCATAAGAGTTACAGAAGTGATGTCAATAGCTTTTATTTTGCTAAACAAACTAGCTTGGCGAAACTTAATAGCTCATGTAAATATCTGTTTGTTGCTTAGTGCAGCCACTTAGACTTGCTGCAGTCCAACTATTACTATCTAATAAGCAATGATGAAAAAAAGATGCTAATAAGTAGTCCTGAAGGGAAAGCATTTTTTGTCCTGTAAAAGCAGACAGCTAGGAGCTAGCTCAAAACTGAAGGTCTACCTGTACAAGTGAATTCAGGGAGAGAATTAAAACAGAGTACAGATTTTAGTTAAGAATCTCATAGTAAGTATGACAAGTTAACACTTGCTCTGTCAAGCTGTTGGTGCTCAATAAACTGTATCCTAGCTTACCTTTCAAATATGGTGTGAATGGGAATAACCAGAAGGAGACCAAGGGCTGTAATCAACTGTTCTCACAGTTATGTCTCAGTCATGCTTCACCATGACTTCCTCTGTATTTTTTCAGAGGAAGCCCATATCAGTCACATGCACTTTTGCATAAGAATTTTGTAATAAACTTGGTATTAATAGGGTTTGGTATATCGCTTGTGGAAACAGTAAAAATCCTACACTTCCTTGAAATAGACAATTTCTTTTTTTAGGAGACTTCCTTTTAAAGTCTCTAAATAGAGAATTTCTTTTTTTAGGAGACTTCCTTTTAAAGTCTGAGAGTTTGTATTTTTTTAATGTAAGAATACTGCAATCTGTGGGGTGTTGATTAAGCTGAGTAAATAAGTTGTGAGGAGAGGCTTCTTCATTAAGAAGCAGTGTTTCCAACTAGCTCTTGCAGCTTTGACAATAAAGCTTCCACTCTAGCAGCTTAATGACTTTATTGTAATCAGCAGTGGTTTTTTTCCTAGCAAGATCAAAGTAAGCATCTGTGTATAGGGTGAAGGTGTGAACAATTGATTCAGCAATTCTGAGATAATGGAGTGGATACATAACTTGTGAAGTTGTAATAATCCAACCACTTCTTAGTGTTGAATATTTGATGTATAATGAGGTAACAACATTAGTGTTGAGGGTGTTCAGTGACTCATGAAATAAGTCTTGTCCTGTTCCCTCATGAATTCTTGAGGAAGGAAGGATTTTAGGTGACTCTGTGCTTTTTCCCCACTTGTTACCTAAACCAGAGGCTGTGGTGAGCGTAGAAGAGCTAATGTTTCATTAATCAGCAAATACTGAGTGTTTAATGTGTTTCAGGGTTTGGCTCTTGAATTTAGGAGGAGAAAAGACAGTCTCTCCAAGCTTAAGAGCAGGGCTAGTCTTTGACAGTGCAGGACCTGCATTCCTGTACAGGTGGTACTGCAGAGCAGCTGAAATATGCTGATTTCAGAACAAGTAAAGGCTGTCTGAGCTGGGCAAGATGCTTTCAGAGGTGGAGATAATATCTCATGTGCAATTGTGTAGATGCAATCATTTGGGTTGATTATAGCTTTCACAGCTTCATAAAGGCAGAAGAAATGTGTAACTGGCGTCTGCGGAGACTTCAGAACATGTAGTGGAGTGCTACATTAGTTTAAGAAAAAATAAAGAAAAAAACCCAAAACAATCTTTTATTTTTTTTTTTACATTAAGCAGATTTATGAGGTGTTCTGTATTTTTCTTCTGTTCCTGGAAACCGTGAGTCTGAGCTTTTGCAACAACGTTTGTCTTTACTACTTGGATTTCACCAGAAAAGTCAGTCACTTAGGCTGAAGTCTTGTTAGTTAAATTACTACATTGCTTTCATTCCTAATTTAATGAGCCTTTAGTATGAAGGGGAAAAATACACTATAGTTAAAACAAAAATACAAGATGTACTTTGACTTAAAGCCTGAGGGCAAACGCAGAAGATCAAGTTAGAACCAAATCACCAAGTCTTCTTTTGAGTATCATGACAATTTTCTGCCTAGGGATATTTTCTCCTCCAGTGCATTTATTTGTTTTACCAAACAGTCTTTCTCCAAACTAGTTATTTCAAGGTAGTAGAGGAGCAAGTCTTCATTTCCTTTACTGTTAAAAAACTGGTGTTCGTCCTCTATGATATGCACCAGCTCTTCAGTTAACGCATCCACTTTATCCTCAAGTTCTGAAGGGGATAAGGAAGTGTGGGTTTCCTCTTCAAAGCTAAAAAAAAAAATAAAAATGGAAAGGAATTCTTAAAATCAGGTATTAGATATACCACTGTTAAAATGATACCTGTAGACTCAGTGAGGTCATGATGAAGGGGTGTAATGATTTGCTTCGTTTCTCACCCCTCAAGCGGTTCAAATACAAACAGTTATTAATTCCTGACAAATCATTCTTACCATGTCCTCCATCCAACACTGCCCTTTTCATAGCTGCTCGAGGCATGAAGGAAATGCTCTTTCTTCTTCCCAAGCAAATTGTCATTTAGTGGTTCCTCAGACTTCAGATGGAGCAAGAAGTTGTTCTTAATTTGTTATGCAATAAACAGAAGTAGACAAAGCAGATCAGTGTTAACTTCAAAAGCATTTTTATAGACTTTTAGAATACATTTTTCATGGTACAGGTTTCTATGCTGTAGTAATGAATTGTATGAAGCCAAATAATTTTTCCTGATATGAGATTTTTCAGATAAAAATGACAACTGCTTGTGTAGATTTACATTTGAACACAGTTACATTTGCTGTGTATCTATAGCTGAAGATATGGGAGCCCACTTCAACCCTTGCATACTTTTCAGGGTATGTGCTCTTTAAATATTAAAGCAAACAAAGGTTTTTTTAGTATTGTACTTAAAACAGTGGCTATGATCTCCCACAGAATCACAGAATGGTTGAGGATGGAGACACCTCTGGAGGTTATTTTGTGAGAGATTTCAAGCAGGCCAGGTCTCAATCTTTCTTATTACCTTTTCAAAGGCTTCCAAGTCTGTGACACTCTTCACTCCCACCTTAAAAAGTTGGGAGACTAGATTTATTTCCTCTTTGGAGAATGGTTCTTCCTTTAACAACATCTGATTTATCCCATAAGACTTATCACCTAGAAGAACTGCTGAGAGCTGGAGTCTGAGAGAGAACATTTCACTAAGACAAGTCTTCAGTGCCTAGGAAAGAAGTCCTGTTTTGAAAACCTGGAAGCAGTTGAACACAATTCTTTACAGCTAACCACTAAATAGAGATAATAGTGGGAAAATATGCAGCTCTTAAAGACAGGATCAGGGTTAGAACAAGTTGCCATGCGTGAGTGGAATCCTGTTGGGGATATTTGTGTTGTTTCTAGGTGATGCTGGTAGTCCACTCAGGAGGAGAACTATACTTTCTGAAGGGTAACTTTCAGTAAGGGATGAAAAATCACTATGTGCAGAGGGAAAACCTATTATAATCTCATTCTTCCCCAAAGGTATCCCTGACAGTTATTTAAAAAAAGCAGTTTATTGAAGTCTGAATGGAAACGGTTGTATCACATGAGGGTGTTATGGGAAGAACACTACAGCCTCTGTTTTCTTTCTCAGCAAACCTGTGTCTGGTATAATTGTATCCTCTGAGTGAAGACTACTGAAAGAGCTTTCTCTGATTCTTTTGTGTACTGGCCAACTGATGGTTAGAATGCAGTTGTCTGTTTTTAATTCCTTGACTGCCAGTGGAACAAACAGGTATTTCTGAGTTGTATGTACTCAGGCAGGAAGTTAATACATGATACCGTCGATTTTTCTGCTTTCTTGCTTATGTGAAGCAGTGTTCTTTGAATGTTGGATATGAATATCTCTGTCAACAGCTACTGTGTAACTGTAATGGCAGTTCAGGTAATAGTTAACTGTCTTATTTCATCTCTCCTCTTGATTTTTATTATTGGAAGTAAAATGAAGTTGTTAAGCCTTCCCACTTTTAAAATGGTAATTTTTTACAAACATTGCTATGATGTAATTACATTTAGAACATATGGATGTACCTGATAAAAAAGCCTCAGACAGAGTGGGTTGGTGTCGTGGTTGAAGTCAGCAGCAGCAATGTGAGCTAAGCAGTGCACGAGGAGGAGAAGAAAACTTCCTACAGAATTCAGGCAGTCCCTTAGAATGAAT